CAGAGCTGATCAGCACATTCCTTCAACACTTTTCCGGGGATGTTGTCTGGGCCAGTTGCTTTGTGCGGAATAATCCTCCTGAAGGTACTCCTTACTTCTGCTGAGGTCACGCTGAGATGCTCTTCATCCGGTGGTGAGGTGAGTCTGGTGCTGGGTGGTCTGTTCGGGTCTTCAAAGCGTGCATAGAACTTGTTGAGGGCATCAGGCAGAGATGGGTCTTTGGGGCATTGTTCACTCCTTCCTTTATAATCTGTTATGCACTTAATGCCCCTCCACATGCTCCGAGGGTCTTGTGAGATGAATTGACCCTCGATCCTCTGTGCATATGTGCCCTTGGCCCTCTTAATACCAGCAACCAGCTTTTTTCTTGTCCTACTCAGCTCCTCTGAGCTTCCAGACCTGAAGGCAGTGTTCCTGGCTTCCAGCAGGGTACGCACCTCTGCATTCAGCCAAGGTTTTCTGTTTGGGTAGCTTTTAACATTTCTGATAGTGGAGACTGTGTCAGTACATGTACTAATGTAACCCAGAACTGAGGATGTGTATTGGTCCAGATCAAGCGATCCTCCATTTTCAGCAGCTTCTCTGAAAACCTGCCAATCTGTTCGGTCAAAACAATCTCTCAGTATGGGTCCACTGTCCTGGCTCCAACATTTAACTTTCTTTTGTACCGGTCTGGAGCGTCTCAGCGGGGGCATGTAAGCAGGAGCCAGGAAGATTGAGATGTGGTCTGACAGTCCTAGGTGGGGGCGAGGTTCGGCTTTGTATGTTCGTGTAAACACGGTCCAGCGTGTGGTCTCCACGTGTTGGAATCGTCACATGCTGATTAAAGCTTGGGAGACAGTCCTTTAGATTCACGTGGTTAAAGTCTCCGGCTACCACGTAAAGAGCCTCGGGGTGTTTGTTCTGCAGCGAGCTGATGATATCATGTAGCTCCTGCAGTGATTCATTAGCATTAGCGTCCGGAGGAATGTAAACAACTGTGATAAAAGTCACTGTGAACTCTCGGGGTAGATAATGTGGCCGACATTTCACTGTTATTTGCTCCAAAGCCTTCGAGCATGAGCTATTTACAACAGTACAGTTCGTGGACCAACTTTTACTCACGTAAATGCACACTCCGCCTCCCCGTGATTTCCCCGTTAGCTCGCTGCAGCGGTCCGCTCGAAAAAAATGTCTGTCATCCAGCTGGAAGACTGTATCCAGTGTTGTGCTTGTAATCCACGTTTCTGTGAGGCAAAGCACCGCACACTTCTTCATCTCTTCTGAGGCGCCCGCTCTCAGACGAAGTAAATCCACCTTGTTGTCCAATGAGCGGACATTCGACAGAAAGAGAGACGGCATGGGGAGTTTACCGGCTTTAGCGTTAGCTCGTAGCCTCACCATAACCCCCGCCCGGCATCCTCTCCTCTTAAGCCGGGAGCAGCGCTTCCTCTTCTGCCCGCTGGAACGCCTCTGCTGCAGCTTCCAGATAGATGACTTTAAGATCTGCATTCTGCCGAGTGTAGTTTTGAGTTTGTTGCTGATTTCTGCTATATTTCGTGGCAAATCCGCTCCTATTCTCATCAGTTCGGTTCGGCTATAGTTCACACGCATAAATCGCGCGGAGTCAGGCACAGAGTCAATATCAAAACTTCTAAAAACTGGGATGGTACCGGGAGCCTGTGAAGCTGCCACTATATATATATAAACTACTACTTGTACTACTACTATTCCTACTTTGTGGTTTTTCACTTATCGCAGGTCTTCTGGGTACGGATCCCCCGAGATAAAAGAGGGACTACTGTACTGCCATCTTGAATTGAGTTGGCTCCAAATTTAATCAGTTGCTAATTCATATTTCCTGAAAGTTTCATTAAAATTTTTACAGTGGTTCATGAGATTTTTTGCTAACAGACACTTGAACATGTGTACAGATACAAAAACATTATTTTCTGCCTCCTCCTTTTGGCAGCAGCTGAATGAACTCTGTGTTTACACTCCTGTCTCCCTCAGAGCCTCCTCATCCTTCTGCAGAACCTTCCCACCATCCACTGGGGGAACGAGGAGGTGGGTCTCCTCCTGGCCGAAGCCTACAGACTCAAGTACATGTTCGCAGACGCCCCCAGCCACTATAAGAGGTAGACCGGAAGAAACGGCACTGGACCTGAGCGGACCTGGTGGGTCTGAGGTCTGGGAGGACCGGACTGCTCAACTTGATGCTGTGAAGACCAAGTCCAGGCAGTTTGAGCCGGATTTGGAGGTTTCTGGTGCGTAAAACTCCGAGTTGTGGACTGACGCTGCTCTTGTTTATGGACTGTTACAGAATATTTAACTGAAATGTTCACACATTTTAAAAGATGATGAATGTTTGTCAGATGGTACTTTTATGGAAATATCAGATTTTATCTCTTTTTGTTTGTATATATTTAAATACATTTGTTACAAGGTGTAACTATTTTTTTTCTTATTTTTAACGCTCATTGAGTCGGACACTGATTAGTTGTTAGAAATAAGAAGCACAATGATCCCGCTCCTTTTAATCAGCTGAGAACAATCAGCCTCTTAAAGCTCCTCTTTCAGGCTGTAACCAGTAGATTTAACTGGTTTCCAGTACTGATATATAATTTATATTTAGGTTCAGACCTAAACATAAAAGGTAGGTATGACTGTGATAAAAAGCAAAAACAAAAAAGTCCCTTCATTATCAATTAAACTGATGAATTTCTAAATCACTTTGAGGTGTAGTAACAATTATAAAGTGAATTGTTTTAAAACACGTAAGTCCAGCTTTATTTAGAAGTGCTTTAAAAAGCAACAGGTGTTGACCAAATTCCTGTAGACACAAAAGGTCTGGAAATATGCAAATCAAAGAACACCGATGAAGAGAACACAATAATATGATTAACGCAGAAATTAACATATAACTGAGTTATTGTATCGTATTAAGCCCAGTTCCAGTGAAGCTGTGTAAAATGTATATCAAAGCTAAATGAAATGATTGACATATCTCATAATCCCATTTTTTATGGAACATGGTAAATATCTCAAATGTTTAAACTAGGAAACTGAACTATTTATTTAATTAAAAACAGTCATGTTTTAATTTTATGGCAGCAACACATCTCAAAAATGTTGAGCAAATAAAGGAAGTAAAATGAGGTGGAAAGAATAAAAACCAGCTGGAGGAGCATTTTGTGACTCGTTATCTGGATTAGCAACTGCTCAGTAAAACGAGCATTTAGAAGTAAAGATGGGCAGAGGTTCACCAGTCTGGAAAAAGTTGCATTTCAAAATAGTGAAACAATTTCAAAATAAAGTTCCTGAACAGAAAACCAAAGACTTTAATTTCCATGATCTCTAGATCATAATCTCATGAGATTAGAAGAATCTGTAAAAAATCTCTGAGCTCAAAGGACGAGGCTGAAGGTCATCACTGGATGGTCGTGATCTTCTGATCCTCAGGGGCCACTGCATTCAAACCAGGTCTGGTTCTGTTCTGGGCTCAGGAACTCTTCCACAGATCATTGTCAGTAAACCCAGTTCATCCACAGATGCTACTTAAAGCTCTATCAGACAAAGAAGAAGCCAGATGTGAACAAGTGGAGAACTGTTCTGTGGACAGACGGATCCATATCGAACTTTTGTTTTTAGAAACCACAAAAAACAAGTTCTCCGTACTAAAGAGGAGCGGCACCATCCAGCCTGTTATCAGCTCACAATTCAAACATGCCTCTCTGATGCTATGGAGGTGCATTAGTGCCTCTGGTATAAGCAGCTTGCACATCTGGAAAGACTCCAGTAATGCAGAAAGTATCTACAGGTTTTAGAACATCTGCTCCCATCCATCAGAGAAGATCCAGGACTCTGTCAGACCAGAATGGGACAACATTCCCTCTAAAACCTCCAACAACTGGTCTCAGGTCCTCCAGAACCCCCTACTGGTCTCAGGTCCTCCAGAACCCCCTACTGGTCTCAGGTCCTGGACGTTTGCAGACTGTTGTTAAAGGAGAGGAGATGCTTCTCAGAGGAAACGTGGCGCTGGAACAACTTTAAAGAGACTTGTCGCTGACATTAAATTAAACTTTCTTAACTTCAACATTTTGTATGTTTACAATATTCCGTAATAATTAAAATATGAGTTTATAAAATTATCTTTTATTATTAACATCCCGACTTTACAGAACTGGGCTTGTAAAACTGATACTTGTAGTTCGTAAGCCTTTTTAAATTTCAGGCTTTAATCTGGTTTAAACTCTTAATTTTGTTGTATTTTAGCTGCAGACGTAACCGTTTTTTATTAATGCCACAAAGTTCGATCATTTTGACCCGACGGGACACGTTCTGTCAAACAAGTTTTCACCTTCTGAACAACGTAGCTGATGTTCAGTGTAGGGTTTGATTAGAATCCTTTCGTAAAACAAAGTTTAATCAGTTAAACAGGATAAAAGCTTTAAAGCAGCGAGCGTCACGATTCTTTACGTCACTCCTGCGTGACGTGCTCTCACTCTTGTTTGTACTTTTATTTGTTTCTGAATCGACGAGGCAACTAATTGTTTTTATCCGCATGATGTTTTTTTTAACTTCACAAATCAGAGTCGGAGTCTACCGATGCATCCAGATTGTCAGACTTCTCTCTCGCTCTTCCGTAAACGGCGGTGTTCTCTTGTTTTCAGTCACTTGGGCTGTTTCTGCAGGCCATCAAACACTCAGTAGTTCCCTACAAGTGTTTGTCACATTAACCATGATTTGTTTTTTCTTGCTTTCATGTTTTTTTACCGGTCTGCGTGACTTTGCAATGAGTACCTTTAACACTTTGAGACAATCTGTTTATGGTTCGGTCATAAACTCGTGTTCATCCATCGACCGCTGAATGTTTAGTTTACCTGCAGCCTTAAATCTGCACTCATCCATTCTCTCTTGATTGTGTCTCTTACTGTGGCGTTGTTCACTCTGTGTGGTTTTTGAAGATGCGATGTGAAGAACCTGACCTGCTGATTCACGCTGGCTCATACGAGACCAGACCTTTGTGTTTTAGGTCAGTCTGAAGGTTTTAAAGCACTTGAGTCATCAGATCTGGCTTCAGCCTTAAATGATTATTTATTACAGTTCCCGCTGTATTTGATTTTTGTTTATATTAAACTTATTGCTACTCTTAGGTATGTGTCTTTATATACATGACGGATTTTTGTTTAACATTTTCAGCTTCAGACTCGTTAGAACAGTCCTGTTTGAACCGGAGGGGAAAAATACACATTACTCATTATTGTGAAGACGTCGGAGGCAAATATTTACAAATTCAGCCTTTTGTTGCATTATTACACCGAAGTTCACTACTAAATTGAATTAAAGGTTGTGTTCAGAGCTCAATAATTTTTTTTTCTTTTTAATGAAATGGTTATTTTTCTCTGCAGAGAGCTCTCAGATTGCTTTTACAGTAGCATTAAAACAAACAAATATAAAATATACTTTTTTTTCACATAAAGTTTCATATTAAAACCAAAGGGATGTTGTTTTCAAGCAGAAAGTTGGTGCCAGCAGTTCCTCCCATCTCATCCATGCACGGTGTTCCTGTTGAGTTTGTGGACTCTTACAAATTCTTGGGAATGTTGGCTTTTAAACCACATGTTGAAAACTTGATCAACTGAAATTAAAACTGGGTTTCTGTTTCAGAAATGGATATTGCTTAACTCTGAATGCCAGGAGGCACCTTGATTTATTGTTTTATAACACTACTTTTAATTGCATTTTTACTGTAGTTATTGTCGTCTGTATTTTATGTCTAAAACAGGTCTCTTGTAAATGAGTCCTCATGACTCAGTGAGACTAACCTTTATAAATAAAGGTTGAACGAATATAAAAAATATATATTGTTTAGCAAAGTAAATCTAAATATTTCAACTTTTATCATTTGCTCTGTTATAGGCAGGAAATACAAAATGCAATGCTGGTTATTGAGGTTCTATTAATATCAATAATTAATAAATGAACTTCATTTAAGGTGTCATACATAAAAATCTGGCTCAAAATCAATTAAATCCAAGTACAGAGAAGACAGACACGTTTTCCCCCCATTTTATATTATTTGTTTAGTGAAATTATTTCCTGGTGTACGAGAGGAAGCAACAAACAAGGATCTTTATAAAATGTCTGCACACCATTTAAAAGCCGGCTCTCAAAACGGCTCGATGGGTAGGCGGAGTTTGAGCTCCAACCGCGTATCCGTGGGAAAAGCTCCTCCTTTGCCTCGCGTCATCACTTCTAGCCGGGTTGTACCTCAGCAGACCGATAAGGAGCACGCGCCGCCGGAAGTGATCCTCACCACCGCAAACTTCGCTTTCATTCTGACAACATGCGATTGTGGTTTCGAGGGAAACAACCCTCCGGTACCGATCCACACACGCTGGTAGGTTTACCCGGTTCTCCGCACCGATCTTGATCCGGTTTCGTCTGAGAGTTCAGGTAAGCCCTGTGGGTCAGCCGGTAATAAAAGCGGAAGCGTGAGTTTGTAGCGTGTTAGCTTAGCATAGAGCTAACGTTAGCAAACATCGAGTTTTCTGTCACGTCTTCAAGTTATTGAGTTATTTATAAATATTACAATTTTGTGGACATTACCAAATTTTGAGAATGTGAACGAGATGAACAAAACTAATAACTCACTTGATTAAATCCCTCAATTTATCAGTTAAAAAAATACTTTTTTTATTCACTCGCCTTCATGCATGCAAGATGAGAGTTCTGCGATGGAGTTGAATTCAAAGCAGTCTGCTCCTCAAATAAATCATGTTAACTTATTATATATATATTTACGGAACGGTTACACGCCGTTCATTGATTCTTACTTATTCGAGTTTTGGATCATTTAAACAAAAAAACTAAAGATGGGAATGATCCAGTGTTGTGAATACACATGAGGACGTATCCAAAAAAAAATCACATTTACATTAAATCTTGGATCCGTGTAGCCAGCAGTTTGTCACAAAGACACAATTTAGTCTTTGAGGTCTATACAAATTTCAAATAAAAGGTCTTGATGCTGCTCAATAATCCAGGTAGAGACGGATTCTTCTTTGTTGAAACATTTCGTTTTACCCAAAACACTTTCTTCAGTCTGAGGAGCTGCAACAAACTCAGTCTTATAAATATCACCTCCTCATAGTGGATCAACCAGTTTAATGGTGACAGCCAAAACTATTTTTTCACATAAGAGGACCATCAGTCTAACAGTTCAGTTTATTTATATAGCGCTAAGTCAGAACAGAATTTTCAGGGCACCGAACAGAAACATTAATATATAAAGCGATAGATTGTTAGTGCTCTGATGGCCACTTGCACACACACAGAGCTGAGTGATACTTGAATAACATGACATGAGTACTGTGAGAACAGCAAACGACCTCTTGCAACTGCGAAATGCAGTCGGCTAATTGTTGAATCGCTGCATGTGCCTCTCATGTCTAAGCATTTATAAAGAAAATGTTTTGCACATTTGTGTATCTGTGTGACGTGTTTTCTGTCTTGCTTGAAGCTAAAGAGCTCGTGAGGATGGATGGAGTCAGTTGGAGTGCGTCGAGGTCCCAGGAGTCGTTCAGTCGCTCCACGTCGACAGACACGTTGTCCAGGCTCGCGAGCTTCATCGCACGCACCGGCACACGACAACACGCTCAAAGCCAGCTGCAGCAGCCGTCCCACCTGCCGCTGTATGTTTGTCAGGAGTGTGGTAAGGGTTTCCCGTACGCAGCTGATCTTCTGCAGCACCAGGAAGTAAAGCACACTCTACCCAAGCCTCACCGGTGTCCCTCCTGCAGACAGGAGTTCTCCCTGAGGTCGTCCTTGCAGCTTCACAAGTGTAATCAGGATTCTACTCCATGTGAGCGATGTCAAGGGCCGTCGCGGCTCAGTTCTCCATGCACTGCGTGCACGACACGGACCCCAAATCCAGGCAGGCTGCAGGATAAACCACTTCACCGCCAGCCGCACCTTTTGGATAGCAGTCCTTATGCGTGTGCTCCATGTGGGAGGAGCTTCAGCCAGAAGCAGGCGCTGCTGCACCATCAGCAGGCTGGCTGCTGCAAGCTGTCATCCCCGTCAATCACAGCTGACCCCAGCAGCCTCCCAGATGATTCTCCTCTGGTTTCTGAAGGTGACTCTGCTCGCTCTGATCTTTCAGTCACCCCGGGACCCAGCAGCCTGGCTGTGAGTGTGTGCCAGGTCTGCTTGAAAACTTTCAGAACAGTGGCTGCTCTGCAGCAGCATAAACGGAACAATCACGTGGAGGAGACACTAAAACCCCGAGGAGACGGTAATGATGAGGGGAGAAAAGAGAACACTGCCAAGGTTACAAGAGGAGCACATGAAGGGTCCAAATCAAACAGTTTCCGCTGTCGCTCCTGTGATATGGTTTTTAAGTGCACCTCCAAACTGCAAGTGCACAGAAAAGAGAAGCACAGCAGAGAGAAGACGACCAGGAGAGAGCCGAGGCCAGCAGTCCGCAAGCGCAGGAAAAGAGGCGTGTATCCGTGTCAGGTCTGCTGCAAAGTCTTCTTCCATCATTTATCTCTGAGGGCGCATTTCAGACAGCACGTGGATTCACAGCCCATCAAAGGTCCCGCCAAAGACTCTGGACCAACAGAAAACGGACCAAATGAAGTCGGTAAGACGAGAGAAGCTGGTCCAGAAAAGCCCAAAACGGTTCCCAGAGTATTAACTGGTCTTAAGGATCTGATACGAGTTCCAGCAGGAGGAAAGCTCATGAAGATGCCCAGAGTATTAACTGGTTTTAAGGATCTGGTAGGAGTTCCAGCAGGAGCAAGGGAGGAGGAGAAAGAGTTCCCCTGTCCCTCCTGTGCAAAGGTTTTCTGTGTGCAGCAGCAGCTGAAGGAGCACGTGGAGCTCCACCAGTCCTCCGAGACGAGGAGGCAGTGCAGCGTGTGCACCAACAAGATGGATTCCTGCAAAGAGCCGAGCTCCAAGAAGCACAGGCTGTATCACTGTGTGCCCTGTCAGCAGGGCTTCTCAGCGCTGGACTCCTTCCTGGAGCACTGTCAGGAGCACCTGCAGGTCCAGGTGGAGCAGGACCGGATCTCGGAGAGCTTCACACAGAAGGCCCGCAAAGCCTGACGTTCATCTGTTGCCTTTTGGTCTCGGTGGAGACTTCTAGACCGAAATAATCAGGGGTCAGGGGAGTTTGTTGTGTTTTTAGTCTTCGTCACCTCGCTGCCTCTGCTGATTGTTTTTCTTTTCTTTATAACCGGTTAAAATATCTTCAGGTTTTAGTTGTTAGATGTTGTGTATGAGGTCTCCCACTAAAGACGACTTTGATTTGTTCATTTCAGGTTTTTGACCCAATAAACAACTGAATTTGAACTGAGCCAAACTTATCCAGATACGTTTTCATTAAGGCTCGTTTCCTCCTGTTGGATGATGTTCATCCTCCTGCAGCTCAGCGGTTCTTCTGAACGTTGCAGCTTCTAACCCACAAAGTCAACTCGGAACAGGCTCCGACCTCAACATGACCGGTTTAAGTAAACCAACTTTTCTGATAAACTGAACGAGCAAAACAAACGGGCTTAGCAGCTGCAATACTTTTTGTAATATTTCCTGAACTCAACGTTGGGAACCTCCTGTTTAATGGATCAGTTCAGTTTCAACTTCACGATGTGTTCGAGGACGTGACGGTGTGAGGTCCGTCACCATTGCTGGTTATTAACGTCAGCTTGGTGTAGAAGAACCGACGCCAAAATAAATCAGTTTAACCGGGTCACTGACCGAGTCGTCCTGATGCTTGAATGTCGCCCTTTTGTTGCGTATCAGGTTAGAAAGAAATTGCGTACGAAAGATTTGTTGTTCTACAGAGCATCACGTTTGGGATCCATCACAGCGCTCTTCAGTTTTATAATGTGGTGGTTCATTAAAAACAGGATGTAAGGACTGGAGATGTTTTACTTCCTTAAAGCTTTAATAAACTTAAAACACAGGAGAATTACATTATTTTGTGATATACAGTAGATTCTAATAACATTTAACTACGGTTTAAAAGAGAGGTTTTTAAGATTAATCATCCAGGTCAATACATCACAGAAAAGTTAAATCATTTCATCTGGACAGTTTGTTTTTGGAAGAAACGCTTCATCTTTCATCCAAAAGACTTCATCAGTCTGAGGCCTGCCAACAAGATCTGCTGTAATAAATTGGACCTTTATGGACGTGTCTCAAACCAGTCTGCTGTGGAGTTCCCAGAAACTGGTTTTACACATGCAGAATGCAGGAGCATCTAACGATCATCAGTGCATGTAAAGACCATTCCATTGTTTATTGAACGCACCTGATTGTGGGCGGTTCATGATGATTATCTGAAATGTGTATTTGTTCTGATTTGTGTTTGGAGCAGAGTTGTAGCCCAAAAGTTTTTATATATAGTTTTTTGACCGCGCACACGCACGTATGGACGTGCTTAATAACGCTGAAGATAAACATAAATACACTAAAGAAAGCGAGTCTGTCGACGGAGAATCAAAGCCCTTTAACGGCTGCACCAGTGATTCACAGGGAATCACTTCCAGCGCATATCGAATCAAATGTTATCGACTGAACGGCTGCGTGCTACTCACCGAACCAGACTGAGAACAACCTGGCCAAAATGGTTCAAATAAAGGTTTGTAAGATCAATAAGTCACAGAAAACATTAAATCATTTCATCTGGACGGTTTGTGGTGGTCCTCCATGTTTACATGTGTAAAACCAGTGGGAGCTCCACAGCAGACTGGTTTGAAACGCGTCTGGTGTCTTAATACAGCGTCCTGCGGCACGCCTCAGACTGATGAAGACGAAACGGTTCTTCCAAAAACAAACTGTCCAGATGACGATTTAACTTTATTTTGTTGTTGTTGTTGTGATACGGCTTTAATGGTGACATTTTGGGGGAGTGGTGGCGCAGAGGTTAGAGAAGGCGGGTCTGTGATCGGAAGATCGTCGATTCAAGCCCCGGTATCGACGACATCAAAAATGTGGGTGGGGTAGGTGAAGCACCCACACCTGCCGCCACCCTCATTCGCCCCACTCTGGGCCCTTAACCCCCATCTGCTCCTAAACAGGTCCCTCTTGAAAATGAGTTCTCGTGGCTCAATGAGACTTCCTGTACAAATAAAGGTTAAATGAAAAAAAAATTCAAAATGTAGAATCAGAGTTGGTTCTGGGGCTTCAGGTGACGTCGAGCTGCCGTGTTCACGTCTTTGCAAGTACATATTTCTTACTGTAAGAAAATAATGTTAAAAATTAAAGGTACTCATCGCAACGTTGTCAAGACCAGTAAAAAAAAAATTGACAAAATCATAACACTAATTTTCTCGCGGTCGATGTAAAAACTTAAACTAAAAAACTGTTGGCAAGCCCCGCTTCAACTTCCACGTGATTATTTACAGAAACAGCCGAAGTGACTGAATGTTTCTAACTTGTTGAAGGTTTGTGTTTAGCTGTGCAGACAGGCCAGCGTGGTGTCGGGTAAATACGAGACTCGAGCTTCCAGCTGGTTTTCCTTGGACTCCTCTTTGTTTACACTGAGTGCAGACCCGCATTTTAGAACTGCACATATCAGGAAAACTACTGGAGCGTTCAACCTTCATTTGATTTAGTTTAAATTAAATCTTTTTTATGTTTGATTTCATAGTTTGGAGTTTGATGTCAATAATAAAGTGATGTTCATTTAAACAATCACGACTAAAGGACACCTCTTAGTACTTTTTAAGAAATCTTTTTGAAGTGTTTTCCCCGCACCGAGACCCCAAGTCTTGTTCAAATGTAATCGAGACCTTTTTGTGCGTTCAGCTCCAACGTACGGAAACGACTGAGATTAAAGCTCGAACAACACGGGATGTTGGGCTTCAAATCATTTCCAGCTGTTTTCGGAGTGCCTCTGGGAGAATTTACAACATTACCACTGTTTAAAAGGTTTTTCAACACTTAGGGGTGATTTGTTTTGTAAATTGGTACGCAGCTCTTTATAGATGACAAATAAAACTTTACTGTTAATTCATTTTTGTCTGCTTTTTATTTTACATTGTGAATGCTGGTTTTATGCTCGTGCCCTGATGTAACTTTTGTGCATACGAGCTGTTTAAAAGCATTAAAAATAGTTGTTTTCCTTTGTAGAAACTAGTTAACATGCGTGCACACTGCAGATAGGCTCAGTTTAAAGTTTTTTATTGTGCAAATGAGTTTTCTCTTAAACTGCTGAACTGATTTTTATGAAACGCTTAAAATAATCAGAAATCTATACAACCTTTGAGTTACTTTCACAGATGCCAAGATAAATCTTGGTGTGGTAGTAGCTGAGAGTCGCCACAAACTCTTCTTGAGCGCTGATTGAAGATCTTAGTTTAAAACTGACGGACAACACGTTGGGAATTATGCATCCCTTCAAGGAATGAAACTTAATTTTAAGTTTAAACTGAAAGACATTTAAATGTTATTTTACAAAGTTTAGTTGATAAGGCTGTATGAAAAGAAAAAACTAAACTTTTCAAGAAAAATGATTAGACGTGATGTAAAGCAGGGAAAAGGTTCTGATTACTCTGCTCGGCTTTCAGACATACAGAGATGAAGCTGCTGCAGGTTAAAAAAAAAAACAGGAATCATTCCCTGAATAATTACAAAGGAGGACCATGAGCCTAAAGGAGGACCATGAGCCTAAAGGAGGACCATGAACCTAAAGGAGGACCATGAGCCTAGAGGAGGACCATGAGCCTA